AAAAAAAAAAAAAAAAAAAAAAAAAAAAAAGAAAAGCAGCTCAAAGGCTGCTGGGTATTGGCTGTGACTTTTATTGAAGGATATTTGCTGAGTTGTTGAATTGTCCTTGAGTTTTATTACACTGTCCTCTGAGTCCTCGAGTGCTCTGACAGAGATCCGTCTGTCTTTGAATCCACTGTGGATGATGAAGAGCGCCGAGCCAGAAAGACGGGTTTGCTTGTTCACTTATTTATAGAAGTATTTAAAAACCCAAACAAGTTACTTTTTTGTATGAAATYCAATTGATGATATTAACATTGCTGAGCCCTGTAGAAATTTGTGTCTACCTAGTTTAAAAAAAAACGTATTTATCTTTAGCCCAGGCAGTTTGTAATTTAAAGGTTGGACTGTGTGTTCAGACCACCATCGCTTCCTGTAGTCGTGATCGTAAATCACAAAGTAAAACTGCTAAAACACTTAAGCTAACGGCCAACCGATGGCTTCATTAACTTGAGAAAATAGAAAATAAAAACTTAGAAATAAAGGAAAACTTATTAACAATTCATCCAGCTGCCATAATGGCTCAGTTGCATCAGCTTTCAAAATAAAAGACTTTCCCCTTTTAAAGTTTCTCAACACACTGAAAACTGCTGGTTTAAAAACAAACCAAGCTGTACCTGGGTCAAATTTGGACCAAGCTTGCCCTCTTATGGGTTGGTTTTTTTTGGTGGTTTGATGCAGAGTAACGAGGATAAGGAACAATCTGTATTATTAGACAATTTTAAGATGTTTTTATGCTAATTTCTTTTTAAATCAGAGGTCCGTTCAGGTCCAGCTTCTTCTGGTTTAAAATGGTTGACTGTGAGGAATAACGCCGCTCATTTCTGACCCGACCTCAGGGTCAAACAATATTTGGTCAACCCAACCCTACTTGAGTTTACTAGTGAGTGTAGTGTCGGTACGGTCGGTGTCGGAACGAGTCGGTTCGGGTGCTTTTCCATTGATGTTCCAGTCCGGTTCCAGTGGGTGTGTTTTGGGCAGTTGGTGGAGGTGGTTTTTAGATTTTTGGAAAAGAAGTTAATGGGCAAAATGAGAGATGGAAACACATTTGATGAATAATTTTTGAAATTTTAAAAATTCGCAAAAATTACGAATCAAAATTGGATGGAATCACGACTAATGTCACTGCTACAATTGGAAAAAAATGGCTCCTTGAGGTGTTCATGTAAGGGCAGCTCAGACGCAACCAGTGACTCCACCCACTAGCCAATCAGTGACAACAATGTTCGCAATTTGATGTCAGCTGGGTCCGGTTGGAATCACAATGAAGTAAGTACTAAAAAAAAAGGTCCGGTTCCATGAATCTGGCCTAATGGAAATGGCTCGGAACCGTACCGAACCGTACCGACACTACACTAAGTGGCACTAGTGGAAAAGGGGCGGCGCTTTTTAGTGCGAACATTTTAGTAAAAATCTGAAAGCAATCCTCGTTTCTCCTGATGTGACTGAGCCTCGAAAGCAACATTCAGTATATAGTATAAATATATACATATTTTGCTAACTTTTAGCCTTGTACAGTGGATTCTAGTGAGTGTACGTCATCTATGAAACATAAATAGTGAGAAAGTTTTGAATTTTACCTCTCGCTAAGAGAAACAGATCTGTGAACAAACATCCTGCTGCAACGTTTTCGACTTTCATCGGGGACTTTTGTACAGTCGAGGGCTTCTTTCTTGCAGCGACATTGCAACGACCCCTCCTCTAAATGTCTACAACGCCACACTCTACCTGCAAGCTCAGCTGCTCACCCTTTCGTACCGAAGGAGGCGGGGAGCAGGCGAGGGTAACAACGAACACTTTCACACCAAGGGCTAAAACAGAATTATCTTTCCGTGTCTGTGCTATGAACAGCGTCCGCTTCTTGTTTTCATTTCTCCTGCGTCCGGCATGCTCSTGCTTATTTTCACTGATTTCTTGAGAAAATAGAAACATGCAAAGGATTTTTTTATGTGACATGTAAAAACACCATTATGTTGATTATTGTTGTTGGATAAGTGCTGACCATAATGATGTCATCTTTGTATTTTCTTTTGTTCTTCTGGCAGCGAGATGGACTTGACTGGATTTCAAGGTTTTCACCTCTCCTCCTGGGGGATAAAAACCAATATGATCAAAGTGATGCTTCCTGCCAGTCATTTGTAGTGTTTTAATTAACGTGTTGATAAAAAAAACTCCTCAACGAGATAGTGATCGCTCCTATCATGATCCCTTTCTTTATATTTACTCAAACATGTATTTATTTTTCTAATCTCTGTGAATTTTATTGAATGTTTTAAACTTTTAAAAGAGAAAAAAATCTTGTGGAGTTATATATATATATAAAAAATAACAGCAAAACCTTTTTACTCGACAAAAAGAGCCAATGCAATCATGAGACGGACCGCATGAAGATGTCAGAAGCCAGTGTTGGTGATGTCACGACTGATGATGTCAYGGCGTGTTTGTCCAAGCGTTCATGCGTTGGTTCTGATTTCTGTGCCCGTGCGTTTAGCTCCCTGTCGTCTTCATCGTAGGAATGCTCAGCCTCCGTTTTTTTACCAAACCTAAACTGTTTTTTTGGCACGCAAAGATGAGATTTAGACCCAATCTGCTACTGTTATTCATTCATATCAGCCCGTGAGAACGTTTTAAGAGACYTGTCCGTGTTTTTATTTTGTTTCTTTCATTCACAGCTTTTCTCATCCAGCTGTATTCACCAAAGCAAGGTTTTTTTTTCTTCAACTGTTTAAAGAAGTTAATCGTTTCAGATGCTCTTTGGAACGAGACGGGAAGTAAAAAACACCATGCAGTTTATTTTAGTGCATGTTTCATGTGCTTGTGTGTCTGTTTGACAGATTTAGGTTTTAAAGCAGCTTCTTTGTGCTCAATTTTGACAGATTTTTTTGGGGCACAGAAGTAATTCTTTCAGCATCAATGGGTGTTGCTGAAGTAGGGAACCATTTTAGCTTGACTTTGGCTAATTAATTATTTTTTGAAGAGTTGCTGCAAAACAAAGGAGGAAATGTAAAAGGCATAAAGTTGAGTTGTATTTTTTTGATGTCTGGCTCATTTCCTCTCATACCTTTTTTTTAGAGGTATTTTACTGTTGTTGTGATCCATGTTAATTGCTCCCCCGATGAAACTGTGTGCCTGTATTTATGTGTGAGTGTGTTAACCACCGGGCAGGAAAGGCATGGGCATATTTGTATTCTCAAAGCTACTCTGCATACCTCAAAAATTGTATGATAAAGTATTTATAACATTCCCTTATATGTCTATTTCCAAGAATATCCCAACGAAGGCCTCACAGATGTGCAACCCTTTTGTTATTGGTGATTAATTCTTGCATTTGTAGAAATCATACTGTTTAAACGATAATAAAAAAATCCTACTTAACAATGTTGTGAATTAGTGTACTTTTTTTCCAGAATTAAGAAACTGTTTAGATATTTGTCTGATTCACTGTTTAGTCTTTTTTTTTTACTTTCTATCTTCTAATTTCTTGCAAACCAACCATATCAACATAAAATACACCAAATAAAAGCAGAGGTTTAATTGWGTAAAAGGTCTGAACCTTACATGCAAATGTTTTGCCATGTTGGGGTAAGTGAGGCAGTGAGGTTAGGCTTGACTGTGTACAGCGGGTAAAATAAGTATTGAACACGTCACCATTTTTCTCAGTAAATATACTACTAG